TTGTGAACTATTGACATTTTTAAAGATATAAGCTTATCCCTATGTTACACTCATCAAGAGCTTTCATTTAAGTACCCACATGCATTTTGATATATTTTTCATATATACATATATATATATATATATAATATATATAAATATATGAAAAATTAATGTGGGTACTCAAATGAAAGCTCTCGATGAGTGTACCATTAGGATGAGCTTATATCTTTAAAAATGTCAATAGTTCACAAGATACAAGGTCATTTCTTAATTATGTATCTAAAAATAGAGAATTTTCGAATGCAGCCTAAATACTTATCATCATAAATTAACTATTGGTGAGAATGATATGAAACCTTGAAAAGGCACAACTCCAAGTGAAGACTATTCTCCTTATACTTATTCTCCTAATAATATAGATAAATTATAATTATAATAAAATAAAAAATAAGTGAAAAAAAAGTCTGACAAATTTGAATGAATTTCATATATTTTCATAAGACATTACGTGTACATCCACCTTCAAGATAATAATATAACATTTATAATATAATAATACAATAATATATCCATTTTTTTATCATAAGCTAATATATAGTTTTATTTATTTATTTATATATATATATATATATGACTATAACAATAATTACAATCATTATCATTATTATTAGTATTTACGTAGGTACGCAGTACAGTACATAAAGAGGTATATTTATAATTGTTTATCTTTCCATCAATTCTATCCTTATCCTCAGGTCCGTATTAAATGCTTTTATCGTTGGTACATATAAATATCTATTTTTACAAACTTTAATTGTCTAGCTCTCTCAAAAGTTAATTAAGCCCCGCGCAACATTGATTTTATTATACCCGACATACATATCTGTTAATTAAATGTATACTCACAAGTCCATCAAAATCGTTTAATTATTTTTATCTAATATAAATATATTAAGTCAGTTTTCACATTTATAAATAAATCATTTTAATAATTTTTGGTTACATCGTTTGGTTAACATAAATACATATTTTTTAGGCCTTAGGTAAGATTAATCCGCCTAATAAAATTATCGACGAATCTCGAGGTAACATATTTATTTTCCTCGTAACTCGTAATTATTTTTAAAGCTATAATTAATTGAAAAAGTGGCTGGATAAATCTTCAATTAATAAATAGCTTTATATGTTTTTTTTTTTTTTTTTTTTCAATAATTTTTCACATATTTTACTTCTTAAAAATTTTGATTTTAATTTTTTTAAACGAGTGACGAGGAATAAATTTAAATTTTAAATATTTATTAGCATATATACGAATAATTAAATAGAGAACATTGATAAAGAATATATATTTATATATATTAAATATTTTTGAATAAAATTTTCAGTACAATAAATAGTCTCACCTCCACCGAGATTTAAATTAAATATTATTTAGTAAATATATACTGTAATTAGCATGCAAATAAACAATCCTGACCGAGCAAAGGATTTTCGTTGTAGCTACAATCATTTCATTGTAAATAATAATAATTATTATTATTATTAAAAAAATAAAATAAAATAAAAATTCACTCTAAAAAGCAATATTTATTTTTCAGTTTATTTTTAATAAAAATAAATAAAACATTTCTAGTCCTATTTTTTTTAGATTGAGCGGGATTTTATGTATTTAAATAAAAATCGAGAGCGAGAAAAGCTTAATATAAGAGCTTGAAGACCTCGAAGTCGATAGTGAGTGCTTATTCTTTAAGGGTAACGTTATTATTATTATTTATCAGCGTTAATAATAGTAATAATAATGTATCGGGATCCTCGGGTTGATTTATCCCCATTTCTGGAAGAGACCTACGCGCTGGCAGCGGCAATTTGACCCCCAGAGATTGCACCTGCAGGAGGAGCTGTAGCAGCAGTCGTTGGGTCTGTGGTCGCAGTTTCCGTCTCGTCGGACGCAGCCTCGTCTGAAGACATACATATACGGGGAACGTCTACTCGAGATTAAGGAAGTCGAGATAAAATATGTCGTAAGGGTTGTTTAATAAAAATTCATTTTTTTTCTTAATTTTTTATAATAATTATTTTATTATAAAATTATTATAATAATAATAATAATTTTATATATAAAAAAAATAATTTTATCTTAATTTTTTAACTAAGATTTATTTTTTAGTGAATGATAAGCCATGCTGTTTTTCAGTGCCAGGGTTTTTAATTCTCCCCAACATTTAAATTAGTTTTTTTTACTTGTTATTTTATTACTGACATTTATTATTTTATATTTTGACGATTATTTACTTTACAAATATGATATTTTATTTTCTTTTTAATTTTTAAATTACTTTTTGTAATTTATTTATTATATAGAAAAAAATTACTGACAATTTAAAGGGAGAGGCAAATGATATATGTTTTTAAAGGTATTTAAAATAAGGAAATTGTGTAATAAATATACTCACTTTTGCTGTGCCGCGCGCATTATATCTTCCAGGGTGTTGTCAGAGTAATCTGAACCGTCCACGGGAATACCATCCATCTCTGTAACAAGTTATTTGTAAAGGAATTACCAAAGAAATTGCAGTGTAATTTTAGGAATCGATCGAGTTTAATCAAGAGACTTAGAAGTTTTCGAGATAGAAGAAGAATAGGTACTTTGTGGGATTACGGGTTGCGGCCTACGCGAATAAACGGGATGTCTTTTTCTTGTACCTTATTCCATTAGTCATATTTTATGAATTAAAGTTATCATTCTATCCGAGATCCAATTAAGGTCACTGGTGTTGCTTTAGTAATAAATATATATACCATTAATGTGCTCTTAATTAACATTGCTAAGAAAAACAAATTATGTTATGTAACCAAGTGAATCATTTGTTGCTTTTTATCAATTTTATTAAAAAATTTTTTATCTAAAATTATAAAATAAATTCCACTATAAATAAATAAAATTTTTCGTTATTAAATAATGACTCTTGTTAAATTGCACTGTAATTTTTTAACTATTGACATTTTTAAAGATATAAACTCATCCCGATGTTACACTCATCAAGAGCTTTCATTTGAGTACCCACATGCATTTTTGATATATTTTTCATTTATACATATATATAATATATATTTCAAAGATATAAGCTCATTCTAATGTTACACTCATTAAGAGCTCTCATTTGAGTACCCACATGTATTTTTGATATATTTTTCATATATACATATATATAATATATATAAATATATGAAAAATTGATGTGGGTACTCAAATGAAAGGTCTTGATGAGTGTAACATCGGGATGAGCTTATATCTTAAAAAATGTCAATAGTTCACGAAATACAAGGTCATTTGTTAATTATGTTAAATTGCACTGTACTTTTCTAACTATTGAAGTTTTTAAAGATATAAGCTCATCCCGATGTTACACTCATAAACTGCTTTCATTTAAGTACCCACATGCATTTTTGATATATTTTTCATATATACATATATATATATAATATATATAAATATATGAAAAATTGATGTGGGTACTCAAATGAAAGGTCTTGATGAGTGTAACATCAGGATGAGTTTATATCTTTAAAAATGTCAATAGCTAAAAAATTACAGTGCAATTTAACAAGAGTCATTATTTAATAAAGCAAAATTTTATTTTTTATAAGAATTTTTATTAAAATTTTCTTGAAATAAAATATTTTATAATAAATTTTACTTTAAATTTATTTATAAAAATTGTTTTTTCATAATTTTAGCTTGTACTTGTTGTAATAATAATAATAAAAATAAATATATATCATAACTTTAAAAGAATTAAAAATTTAAACACGTAGAACATATTTATCGTCTGAAGAGTGTCATGATCATTTATAACATATATAAGTATAATGCGAAAAAGCTTTTTGGATTAACCGAAGTACACATTATTTGTTATAACAACAAGCTATATATATACAAGGTAACTTTCCAGCAAATATTGCGTGAATTCCAAGAGATAAATGTACGAAGAAATAATCAAAATAAACCTTTATTCAGGTATTATGTCACGAAAGGAATAAAATATTTTTTTTCCGAGGGTCTGTTGAGATTAAATCAGCCAATTGTTTTTCACTCTAATACTTGTCTCGAGTAAATATATACACAAGTATATTTAAATTCACGCGAAATAAATTTTTAATTTCAAACATTCGCTCGGTTTAATTTAACGCCAATGGGAGTGCAATATTTACTCATTGAGGGAATAAATAAAATTAACTTTTTTTAATATTTATTATTTACATAAATTCCCTTTTTTGTTTTTATTTCACATTAGAGTTTCATGAGTTTGCTAACGAGTTTTTCCCAACGCAAGGTCATGCGTGGTTTAAACTTTTATTTGATAAAAAAAATTACCAACCACAAGGGAAAAGTTCGTTTCATTCCGAAGGATGAGAAAAATTTTAATTAAAAAGAAAAAAGTCAAAATTTAAGTTTTAGAAAAATTCATTAAATTTTTTTTCTTCAGAAAAAATTAATTTATTTTATTGAAAAAAAAAAAAAAAAATAACAAATTATAAAAAATTAATACAATTTTTTTTAAGAAGAAATTACAATTAATTTTATTAAAAAAAATTATAAATGATAAAAAAATTAATAAAATATTTTTTTAAAAGAAAAAAAAATAATTAATTTTTGTAAAAAAAAATTAATATTAATAAAAATTTTTTTTCAGAAGAAATTATAATTAATTTTATTAAAAAATATTAAAAATGATAAAAAAATTAATAAAATATTTTTTTAAAAGAAGTAATTAATTTATTTTAATGAAAAAAAAAAATGACAAATGATAAAAAATTAATAAAATTAATTATTTAACCCTTAAAAAAAGGGAATGACTGAAGAAATAGAAGAATAAGTAAGGCCTTGATCGAAAATAATGCAAGCGATCAAATAGATGCGTCGGAAAAATCAAATGTGAATGATTAACGATAAAAATAAATGAGTAATATTTCTGAAAATATCTCTGGAATGTTGATCATTCGATCTGGAATAGTGTCCACTCGATGGCACCATTTGTTGGAAAAATGAGGTCTCCAAGATAAAAACAAAAGGTCAAGTTTGTTATCACAACAATAAAAGCGCTCTCTTCCCTTAACAGCATTATCTTTTATAGTTTTTACCCCAGTTTCTCTCCAGATTGTTTGGACTACCTCTTTGTTTTAAAATTTTAATTATTCCGAGGCACAAACTCCTTTTTCCCACCAATAAATAACAAATTATGCTAATTAAATATCGCTGAATGTCTGCATATGCAAATCCGAGCAAATATACAACGAGTTTAACTGCGGAGGTGAAAAAATTTCCGGAGATATGGAGATAAAAACTGTAAAACTCAATTACACATTAATTAGTGGTTTGACTATAAATATAAATATATTTTGTATGAAAAAAAAAAAATTTTAGCCTCAATTAAATTAATTGGAAAAATTTTTGCGAACATGAGAAAAATTATATTAGAGTTTATTTATTGAGTACTAAAAAATTACAATTATAATTACTTAATTGTTGTACTAGTCTGATACATTGAGAAAAAAAATTTTTTTCCTGAAAGTTTATTACAATTTGTCACGCATCTCCGCGTTGAGAAATTACTTTGTGAAAAAGTACGCTGCCAATATTCCGCATGAATTAAAAAAGATAAAAACACTTTTATGAAGATCCTCAATATCGATTTTTTTTCTTAATAACCATTAAATGTATCTTGGTAGTAAAAAAACGCGTAAATACAGAATATTAATATTAATATTTGATCTCATAGAAAATTTATTGAGAAGGTGACAAAAATTTTATTGAAAAAATTTAACATGTAAAAAAAAATGATTATTTAGACGATAAAAAAAGACTTTTATTTTTTTCCGCAATATTAATTGATATATAATAACAATTCTTTAATTAATATCGCGAAAATTTATTTTTTTTAACTATTAAATAAAAAAATAATCAATAATTAAAAATTTAATACCCTAAAAATTAAATCGCCGAGTTTATAAATAATATTGATAAAATTTAACTATAATTAATAATTAAAAAGGATTAAATGAATTTCTCTGAAAAATGACTCAATTATTTTATTTAAAAAATCCTTTTAACTATCAATGATAAAGAAGATTAAAACTCAATGTCAAATAATTTAATACAGGCCGAAAATAATTAAAGCAAAAGTTCGGATGAATTTTAATTGGATTAACCCGCGAGTGATTATTCATTTTAATCATAAACAGTGAAACAGAGTTCAAGTGATTGTTAATCAAAGTTTGAAGCTGAACGTTGATAATTATTATTATAATTTGAAACACAAATGATTTAATTACGTAGGCAAGTCAAAGCGAGGATTGACTAGTTAATTACTGTAACATTACTGTTGCCGCGGCGTATTTCATAGAAGTTTAAATCCACAGCGTCGGTCACAAGTCATAAGTCAAGAGTCAAGCCAGACTAATGTAAACAGAAGTTTACTTTACAAATAAATTCTGGAGCTAAATTTAAATTAAGGGATAGAAAAGCTGCCCGCTATTTATGGTCTTGTTTGACCACACACGTATCTAATTTACTGCTTACTCAGCTTAAAAGTTTTCTTCAACGTTTAATTTGCATGCAACACACGATTTTAGTGGAAAAATATTGTTGCACCTTTTGTAAATTATATTTTACATTGCAAATTTTACTTTGGATAACTTTTAAATTATCTTTAAATATCTAAAGCCGCTTTTAAAATTACATGAATATTTTAAAGTTTGTAATTTTATACGGAAATTATTTTTAAATGAATAAATTACGGATTATATTTTTCAAAAGAAGAAAACTTTTTTAATTTTATTAAATTTTTTCATTAAATATTTAATGCAATTTTTAAAAATAATTTTCTTTTATTAAAAACCCAATAAATAAAATTTCAATTAATTAAAAATCAAAGAAGAAAAATTGAAACACTTTTAATGGACATAAAAAATTTTTACCGGAAAAATTTCACTTTTTTTAGATAAAAAAAAAAGAAATGTAGACTTACCTTCTTCAAAATACGGTCCAGCATTGGCTCCAATGGCCAAGACACATAAAATGAAGAAAAGACAAAGAATACTTATTTTGTGAGCCATTGCAATTTTTTAAAACTTTTTTTATAAAATCCGCTGAGCACTTTTTTAAAGAATATTTTTTTTTTTAGAAAGAAAGTAAATTATTTTTTCTACTTCAAGAAAAAAATTCGAAAAATTGAATCTTTGAGAGCGAAAGAAGATAACGAGTCGCTACCGCGAGATCGTATGGGGTGCAAGTGAGTCTCCGTCGAGATGACGACCCTTATATAGACCAAAGAGGCGTGGCCGCATCGTCGGACGCGGGGTGCATGCCGGAGGACAAGAGCGGGGGTGAGAAATGTCGAGGATTTGCCATACCATGCCGGTGTCTTATCAGTGTACAGGGTTTTGTTGTTCAAGGGGTTTACTTACTCTGTGAGCTTACTCTTGGTATAATATATAGAAATAGATATACTACAGGGTGGAATACCAAGAGATCAGCTGAATCCAACTTTTAAAACCCTACCAGCGCAAGTACTGGCTCTGCAGAAGTTTCAGTACTTGATACTTGGCTCAGAACTCACCCAGGAATTATTTCCGAGGCATCGCTTTTTATTTTCATTCAACAACACCCTCAGCAACTGGTTGCAATGCAACTGGTACTCTACTGTCATTTTTATGCATTACTTCTGTACTTTTTTTTTATCCATACTAATTTATTTTTATTCGGAGGATTTTCTTTCAATGAAACTCTGCGGATTAATTTAATGAAAAAAATTAATGGAAATTAACCCATCGATTTTATAAAAATTAAGTTAGCCGACATTTGGAAATTTTTAAGATTTTTTTTCATTAAAAAAATGATTACAAAAAAATAAAAAAAAATTTTCATTTGTAAAAAACATGAAAAACTATGGAGTGCAATTTTTTAAAAATATTTTTTCGTTCTAATTTAATAAATGAAAAATAATCAAAAAATTAAAAACGTCGGCTAACTTTAGACTCTAAATAATCGAGGTTTTGACCACAGAATCGATTCTCGGGTAGAACCGGAATTGATTTTACCATTTCTAAAAAACAGTTATCAGAAATAATAGCAAGATGCAAATATTTTCTTCTACAAGAATTATTGTCGGTACTTTTTATTTTGTAACTTATTGAATAATAAAAAGTTTAGAAAATCCAAAAGTGCACGCTTTATAACGCTCATTCATTTTTTAAGAAAAAAATTAATTGTGTAATTGATAAAAAAAAAAAAAAAATTATAATTAAGTAATTTTTTACATTATTTTTTATTTATTTTTAAATATCCGCGCCCTTTTTTCTTGTCATACGCGCACGCAGTCTAAAAAAATCCAGCTTGATCAAGTGGCGCTATAGTTTTTAGGTGACAAATAAGAAAAATTCATTTGGCTTTGTACGGTTGTGTCGTAGTGAATTTTAATAAAAATTCAATTAAAAAAAAAATACGTAAACTAGGCCACTGATATGAAATACGGACCCAGTTAATCGAATTCTTAAACTAATAAAAAAAGGTCCGGTCATGAAGTATCAATTTGTTCGGGAGTAATCGTTGGTACATCCAAAATGGGGTGACGTCCGGAGTTGAACGTAAAATTTTTTTCATCTCCGCCATATTGTAAGTTAACGAACTCTAAGATCGTGGACGTTACTTACTACATTTGCAGGCGAAGTAAAGTGGATGAGTTTCACCTGATGGATCTCTTGAATTAACATTGGCACTGGCTTTCAGCAGTAATTCTACAGATTTAGAGAAAATTCCATAGAATCTATTGTTGTATACGTATAATGCGTATAGCACAACATAATGGCGTTACACCAGTAACATTTGCAGCATCGACGTTAGCTCCATGTTGAATCAAAAATTTGACGACGTCTACATTTTCTGGTCTCCCGGGATTTTCAACTGCCAGATGAAGTAAAGAATTTTTTGACGACCGTGTAAATTCATCAAATTTATTGACAGTTGCTCCATAATCTACGATATATTCACAGATTTTTAGAGATAACATACATCTGAATAGAGCGTAGTTTAAAATACTACGGCCACTTTTAACTGCAACGTTAAAGAACCACTGATTTTTTGCGACTGTTGACTGCATACTCCAAAGGAGTTAAACCATTTTCCATTGCTGAATTAATATCAACACCACGTGAACAGAAGGCATATATCAATTGTTCATCAGCTGTGGGTAAGGCGAAGCAATACGACCATCCCTGATAGCCAAACCGGTCGCAACTTTCCGTTGATTTGCTGCAGCAACTTGTCACCAAGTTGGCGGCAAGTCTTGGAAATGAACTCGGTTGTTCACCAAGTTGTCGGCAGAAATTGCTTTGGAAACTCTTTCGCACCAAGTTGACGACAAGTTTCTCGAGAAATTTGGCGACATATTGCGGCAGTAGATTGGTCTTGTTTTTCTCAGAAATTCGTAGCCAACTTGACGCCAACAGTTTCAAATTCGGAAGTTGACCGCAAGTTGTCGGTAAGTTGGTGGCAACTATCTGACACCAACTTGGTTGGTCTGAAACTGTAGCTATCAGGGATATTCCATGTTTGATAATGGTATTAATAGAAGAGCCGCTTTTTAAAAGTAACTCGACTAGTCTGACATTTAGTTCTTTAATCGCCAAATGAAGCACCGTGTAGGTGTCAATACAAGATCTCCTATCATTGACTATAGCGTTGACATTGGCGTTGAAATTTACAAGTAATTCAACAGTGGACAAATCGCCTTTCCACTGACTACTTGATGCAGTGGAGTCAGTCCATTTTTGACAAAATCGACTCCCAGACCTTCATCCAGCATATTATTCTTTACAATAGACAGGTTGGATGGATTTGCTTCGTGTAGTAGTTAGTAACTGGGCCATTTTAGAATCAAGTCGATGACGGATTCGTGATTAGACTCAGCGGCAAGTTCAAACGGAGTCTTACCTTCGGAGTTTAAAGCCTGGATATTTGCATGACATTCAAGTAAAGTCTTAACGATCTTCTCGTACATTCTTCACTCGGTAGAAATAGTTCAAGTGGTAAAACGTTATATTATTAACGTATCATTAACGTTCCAAAATGAACTTATAAAATTCATCCGTAGTTTTCAAAAGTTTAAAAAGCTGCATGACTAAAATTGAAGACACAAAAAAATCATCAGAGACTTTTATTATAGAGAAGAAAATTTTCTACAAAATATCCTTAGAAATTCTCCCGTAGCTTCAACCCTTGAACCAGAATTTAGAAAATAGAGTTGAATTTTAAGTCTAATATAATTGTTAATTTAGTTTTAATATTTTGATAAAAATAATTTGCATAGAAAAATTTTTTACAAAGAAAAGATAATTAACTTTGAAAAAAAAAAAAGCCTTCGATATTTTTTTTATTAAAAAAATATTCAAAGGATGTGTACACAATGTAGATTGGGAGTTTGTTCGAAAAATAATTGTTTGTTTTCCCGGCATTCTAAAGCTCACACTTTTATTTGCCATGGGCTGACAAAGGCCGAAAAAAGTTGTTAAATCACGTCGTGGCTAAAGTAAAGGGAGAGCTAGTGAAATAAAAAGTACCCTCGTGGTCAATGACGTACATCTGAGCAGTGATTGAATAAAACCTCATAAAATATTGGCTTTCACGATTAGAATCCCAGTGAAAAAATTGATACGTGAGAATTTTAACAATGATAAGTATTATAACTTTTGAAATGATACACTGAGTGTCTTGTTATTTGGGTATAATTCGGGATAAGAAGATTTATGCCCAAATAAATTACTTCCCTGACAATACGTCCACTAAAATAGAAACGTCAACTACTACATGTGCTATATATACCACCGGATTGTATAACTATAACCATCCATTATCGGATAAATTCAATGACACAAATATCAGGGTTCATTTATTATTTTTTTTTTTTTGTTCATTAACGATATTTATACATAGTAAATTTATTTTTTCTTCTCTGCGGTAACTATTTTTGGTATTATTGATGAGCCGATAAATTGAGAAGTAAGGAAGTAGACCAAAATTTTCTGTTTTCTGTCCGGAAATAATTTTATTTTAGTATCAAATTTATTTTATTAGCCTTTATTTATTATTAAACTTTTCCCTCATTTTTTTTTTCTATAGATTTTAAGCCATCATACAAGCATCAAGGTCACGCAACAAGTCGCTTTGACGTCACAGTATCACTGAATTTTACTTTTGTTTTTGATCTTTTTCATTTTAACTAGCCCTTGAAATTATTGTGTGGGTGTTTATAATTATTGTCTTTTTTTAATTGTCAATTTATTTTATTATAACACAAAATTTATGTCATAGTCTGACATAATTATAATTATATTATACAACAATATGTGATATAATTAAGCTATTTTCAAAATTATATAATGATAATAAATGTAATGAAAACTTTATTAATACAAAATTTTTTCTAAAACATTATAAAATTTTATGTTAATAAAATTATACTTTATTAAATAATGAGTTTTATTGAATTGCACTGTACTTTCTTAAATATTGACGTTCTTAAAGATATAAGCTCATCCCGATGTTACACTTATCAAGAGCTTTCATTTGAGTACCTACATGCATTTTTGATATATTTTTCATATATACATATGTATAATATATAAAATATATGAAAAATTGATGTGGGTATTCAAAAGAAAGGTCTTGATGAGTGTAACATCAAAATGAGCTTATATCTTTAAAAATGTCAATAGTTCACAAGATACAAGGTCATTTTTTAATTATATTTTGAAAAATAGAGCATTTTTAAATGCAGCCTAAATTTTTATCATAATAATATTAATATTTAACTATAAAAATCCATTTTATCATATAAATACACTGGCCACAAAATTTTGCTTATTCTCTTAATAATATAGATTTATCCCATAATAAAATTGAGATGAAATGTATGTGGCATCAAACTATTCGTAACGTGATTGGTTGAATATATCATAAGCATGAAAATATATGCAAACTCTATAGTCAAGGCGCGCGTAAATTCAAATTCTAGTAAAATTAAAATAGAAATTATAATATTCTATCAATAATAATAGTAATAATAATGAAAAAAAAATGTGGGAAGAAATGAATAAAAAGAACTTGTAAGTATTCTTATATTATTAAAGTTTAATAAAAAAAAATAGCAAGGACATTAATTGAGAATCTTCTTGTATAAAAGAGGCTCTAGAAGTTCCAATGAATATATATATATAGGAGTTTCCATCAGGAGTACAAGCATCTTATCAATATTTACTTTGCTTTGCATTTAAAAGTTTCCAGTAAAATTAAAACTTTCTATAATATTACACAGACGATAATTAATCATTAATAATATCCATCTAAACTTTGTCAATTATTGCCTCAATCCTGAAAAATTAAATTTTAATTTTAATTTTTTAAATAATTAAAATTAGCCAAAAAAAAATGTCTGTAAATTAAAATTCCCACTAGAGAATTAGCGCGTTCCAGTAAAACAAGACCCGATCCAAAGGACCATGAAATTTGACCTCGAAATATAATTGGCATTCATGTGACGTCTGGTGTGTCCGATTTCAATGAGCTCCTGTTATATGTACTGGGTCTAATGAACTACCTGAAACTAGAATCAATATAAAAATATTATTTTTATCAAACATTATTTCAATTTCAATGCTCGTTGGCGTTTAATCGGCTTTCTATTCTATTACGTAGGTATTTATAATTATCCTGGATTTTAATTTAAAATTTCCAAGTGGGAATAAATAGAATAAATCGATAGTTTAAAATAATTTTAATCCAATGGAATTTTATTTAGAAGACTACCGTCACTGTCACTCAATATTTCTTCCCCAAATAAAGGAAATAAAACCAATAAAATTTCTCAGATAAAAATAAATGTCAATAACCGAGAAATAAATAAAAAAATTAACTTTATTAATCAATTAATTTATTTCAATCAATAAAAACCCTCCAATAAAATTAAGCCAATTTATTTTATTGATCCTGTTTTGTTTCTAACTAAATTTTTCCACTGACATGTCATAATAAAAAATTGATAAAAAAATAAATAAATTAAAATTTTCAAGTAATTATTATAAAATAAAAACATAAAAAATATAATGGCAATTGAAACAACGCTTACAAGAATTGGTTTAACTTTTATAAACGCAATTTTGCATTACATGCTGTATAAATTTGTGGTATTTTTTATAATAACCACCAAAGACGGAGTAATTAAATTTTTAAAGAATTTTTTTGATAATAAGTGCCAGAAGCGATCTATCGGGACTTCTAGCATTGAATTAATTCCACCTGCGTGTCCTGTAATTCCAATTAGTCGGTAATCATTTTTATTATTTACCCTTTAAATTTCTTTTTCAATTTTTTAATATTGAAATTAATTTTTCTTAGAATAAATAAGAAAGCCGCAATTTGAAAATTAAAATTTTTATAGCAAAAATTGGTATTATTTATTTTTTAAAAGACCAATACTTAATTTTTAACATTAAAATTAATTTTCTTTAGGATAAAAAAGAAAGCGACAATTAAAAAATTAAAATTTTCATAGCAAAAATTGGTATTTATTATGAATTTTAGTTTTGAGATTACATATTGTAAAAAATGAATATTTTTTTAATAAATTTTCTACAACTTTTGCAAAACCTTTTTAAAGATTAATATTTTCGCCGTGATATTTAATATTAATTTTGAAATTAAGGGAAAAATCTTGGGACTATTTACAGTAATTAAAATAAATTTTCAATATTAAAATTAATTATTTAGCGATGTCTGATCTGCTGAACACATTCACAACTACGAATAGCAATGCGTTTAAATGGCCGTACCAAAGACCGCTGCTGGCAATTCCGAGTCAACCACCTGAAAATATTTATAGAAATTCAAATTTATATCTTCCTCGGATAGATCCAGACGAATGTAAATGTAATTACCACAAAACTGATACTGAGTTAACCAGGTACATAAATAAAAATCGTTAAAACAGTAAATTTTTAATGGTAAAATTTATGCTGAATTTATATTGCAGGTATAAAGAGTTGATGGGAATTGAACATCACCTCTGCAACAACGTCGTTAAAGTAAACCGTGAAATAACTAAATTGGTGTCCAGTATGCTGGAAAACTCAAAAAATGATGAAGAAGTTATGAAAAGTGTCTACCAAATTTCTCATCAGCGAAAAGACGCGCCTCTTACAGATTACAGGTCATTAATGGCAGCAGTTGATGCTCCAGTCGGGTTCCCGATTGAACCGGATACTCTGGAACTTCGGGAAGCTTATAGAGATCCTACGAGGTTTCGGTATAGTTCTCATGATACTCCAGCTATTCAACCGGCAGAGCCGATTAATTTTAAACGAGGTACTTGGCAATTTACTCTAATAATTCTATTATTAGTTTTTTATTCTAGTAATTTTATTATTAATTTTTTATCCTAATAATTTTATTATTAATTTTTTATTAAAAAAATTTTATTGGTAATTTTTTATTATAAAAAATGTATTATTAATTTTTTAACACCATTAATTATTAATTATTATTTTTAAAAATTAAAGTTAAAATTTTGGAGCTAAAAAAAATCTTTAAATATTTATAAATGATTTTTTTTTCTAATTAAAATTAATCTTCCAGTTCCTGAAGTGTTCAACATGTGGAACAAGCCATTCACAGGACGCTCGGAGTACATGGACACCATCAGCAAGCTTGGATTGAGTAATTTAAAGCACTACCAGCAGCATCTTGAGCCCTGTTTGTCTTCCAGAAGACGCTGGGGTGATCAAAGTCTCTGAAACTGAAAAAATAAAAAAATAAATTCATTATTATTAAATAAAAAATAAAAAAAAAAAATATTTTTTAAAAACAAATGACTTACCAATTTTTTTTCTAACCAATTTTTCTGTAAATATGACCGAGTCTGGTGTCTTGCAGTCGGAGTACAAGCTTAATTTCATCAAGCGGACTCAAAAAAAAGTGGAAAAGTAATTTTACACACTAAATTAATTTTAAGAACTGAGAAAAAAATTTTTCATTGCTCAGGTTTGTTCCTCATGATTGTTTTGCGGTTACAAATGATGAAAAGCAAATAGACCCCAGGGTCGCAGCGAAGTGGAAGCTCAGTGATGAAGAATCTCAAGCGTTGGTGGATAAAATTTTTTTAGACCGGTTTAAAAGTACTTATCAGGTTGCTTACAATTGTCCAGATAATTTTAGCAAAATTAATTCTGAGATTGACGGGGTTAGAGAGTTTGACAGTGAATACAAGAGATATTTTAATGACTTGTACTTTGTACCGAGTGATGAAATAAATTTAGCGGCTCCTCCAACAGCTAAAAGAGGTAATTTATTTTTAATTAATTATTTCAACAATAAATTCATAAATTTTTCATCTAGTTTTCGGCTGTCTAAGAGGAAGATTTTTAAAGCGCGCACTTTCAGTTTATCAAGACACTTTTGGAAGAACTGCAGCTGAAATAGTGCTTAAAAAATGTTACTAGAAATAGAAGATGAAACTAGAGATTTTTCGACGACTTACAGCAAAGATTACCAGCCTAAAAAAATATCTAAAAGAAATAAATTTTTTGAAGAAAATTTTCTAGAATCTGAAAAGGTAAATTTTATATAAAACAGATGTAAAAAATAATTTACAAATTTATTTTGATCTTTTAATTCAATATTAAAAGCTATAGTTTTATTTACACTCTTAATTTATGAATTAATATTAATTATTATTTAGTTATCTTTAAACACATTGAAAAGTACTATTGAGCAAGTTAAAATACCTGTGAAAACAATTTATCAATATGATTTCTGTTCGTTGTACCCACAAATAAAAAGTAATCCAAAATTAAGTTTGTCAGATGATTGGATTGTTCCGGAAACGGTTTACAAAAGTTCATATCGTGATTGTTATCATTTAAATGGGTTTGAATGGAGGCATAAACGTCCAGTCATTGAAAAACCGATGGATAATTTACGGCCAAATTTAAAAGAAAGAAAAATTCTTCGAGTCACGTTAGTACAAATGAAACTTTTGTTTAAATCAATTAACAAAATATTATTAAATTATTTTTTTTATTTTTATTTTTATTAAAATTTAATTTTTTTTTATTTTATTAAATTTTATTTTTATATATATTAAATTTTTTTTTTTTTTAGTACCGGTGACTCGGAATACGCAGCGGTGATAAGTAAGACTGGTAAAAATTTTTTAAAGTGACTTTTAGTAACATACTTTTTATAAAGAACTCTTATCCTAGTTTGATTATCAGAAAAAATTATTTTACATTGTACGTATGTATACTATCACTTAAACATCGCATATATTTTTGGTAAAAAAAAAAAAATTGTAGCTCTAACGAAAAGAAAAACCAAGAAAGTAACAAAACAAAGTGTGCTTGTCATGGCAAGATGCGATGTTTAAATAAAACTGTATTAATTTAACCAAAATCTTATTAATAATAATAATAATAATAATAATAATTAAATCTACTAAATTGCATCAATCCTTCGGGTATTTTAATCTAGTAAATTAACAAAATTTGAACTATTAAAAATAAAAATGAAAAATAGTTTAAATATACACTTACAAGTTACGATGCATTAACATTAAAGTCACAGTGCCTATCAATGTTACTCTCAGTTATAAACCGAATTTTTTTTTTTTTTTTTTTTTTTATATAAATAGAACCTAGCAACTTTGCAAACCGCATATTTACATTAATTTATTTGTTTTAAAAACAATTCAGACCATAAGTTTTAATTTATCCTAATTTTCACAAACTGCCTCGTTAATACCGCCCGTATTTTTGGCTTACTTATATAATATACATGAATATTTATTTTATTGTAAATATTCAGTGTCCTTCTGTGACTATCCCGCTATCCGAGATCATATCTGAAAGGGCCGTGCCTCCCGCGCTCTGAAAAAGATAAATAAATAAAAGAGTTGTAGTAATAATAAATGAAAGAATTATTAATTTATATTAAATTATATAAGCATAAAATTAATCATTTCTATTTGAAATAATTACTTCAATGATGATTGTCGATGTCATATTATCGTGATGCTGATTTGCGTTTGTTGCTAATGGCATTGATCTCATTGAATTTAAACTATTTAAAATATCAAATAATTAATTTTATTATTATTATTTAATAATAATAAAATAATTAGTTAATCGACTTACTTTCTTTTTTTTACCTGACCAGAGTGGAAACGTCCACCTTCACCGCGAATCCTGTTCATCGCGTGTCTATGTCGTGACTCGTGGAGATATTTCTGTTGATTAATAATTAATATTATTATTATTATTATTATTATTATTATTGATAACTATTGACTTTTTTTTAAAGATATAAGCTCATCATGATGTTACACTCATCAAGAGCTTTCATTTGAGTACCCACTTGCATTTTTGATATATTTTTCATACATACATATATGTAATATATATAAATATATGAAAAATTGATGTGGGTACTTAAATGAAAGGTCTTGATGAGTGTAACATCGGGATGAGCTTATATCTTTAAAAATGTCAATAGTTCACAAGATACAAAGTCATTTCTTAATTATGAGACTAGAGTATTTTTAAATGCAGCCTAAATACTTATTAACAGTATTATTATTATTATTATTATTATTATTATTATTATTATTATATAAAAATAACTAAAAATAAAAATAAAATACTAACAGGTCTTTCTTTAGGAATTTTTCCCTCAGCTTCAAGTTTAGCCCGTGCTTGTCTTCGCTTTAAAATTCTCCTGTACTGTTTAGCGTTAACATAAAGCGGTTCTTCTTCAAGAAATTCAGCATTGGGTAACGCTACTCTTTGGAATTGTGTTTGTCCTCCATTACCAGGCACCATCTGCACAAATCAAACTAAATTTATAAAAAAAAACTCGCCTAAAAATATAAAACTAACCAAAACTAAATTAAAAATTACAACAAGCATTTTAGTAAATATAAAAGATTGATTGTAATTTTCTGTTGCTCTATCACTACTAGCCAGTATAAAAAAATATATATAATGACTATTAAGTGTAAGAGACATTTCAAATCACCATGACAATATTTCCTGCCTGAGTTGCCGATGTAGGACTCGAGATTTGCTGGACCGGCGACGGGGATGCAGCAGCAGCTGCTGCTTGCGACGTCCCCGCTATTTGCATCAGGTTTCCATTGATGATGACTAAATCACAAAGTTAAATTGTTAGTTAAAATCAGCTCTAATAAATAATTATGTTATAAAAAAAAAAATAAAAGCTACGGACAGTTACCGGTCTGTTGAGCTTGCTGAACTTGGTTGTCAAGTTGAACCGGCTGGTAAATATAAGTCTGTCCATCAGGTGTCTGGATAATCTGGGGTGTTTGTGGTTGCTGCTGTATCACTAATTGTTGGCCTCCTCCAGCCAGAGACGACATTGGTAGGACTTGGATCTGTCCATTAGGTCCAGCAACTTGAATTGCCTGAAAATAATTTTATTTAGTAAGAAATTAGCTACTTTGTAGTCACTATGTGACTGCCGTGAGTTGTGTACTATAAATAAATAAAAGTTTTTAAAGATATAAGCTCATCCTGATGTTACACTCATCAAGAGCTTTCATTTGAGTACCCACATGCATTTTTGATATATTTTATATATATATGGTATTTGTGAAATATATAAATATATAAAATATATGAAAAATTGATGTGGGTACTCAAATAAAAGGTCTCAATAAGTGTAACATTGGAATGAGCTTATATTTTTAAAAATGTCAATAGTTTACAAAATACAAGGTCATTTCTTAACTATTGACATTTTTTAAGATATAAGCTCATTTCGATGGTACATTTATTGAGACCTTTCATTTAAGTACCCACATGGCATTTTTTATATATTTTATATATATGGTATTTGTGAAATATATAAATATATAAAATATATGAAAAGTTGATGTGGGTACTCAAATGAAAGGTCTTGATGAATGTAACATCAGGATGAGCTTATATCTTTAAAAATGTCAATAGTTCACAAGATACAAGGTCATTTCTTAATTATGAGTCTAGAAATAGAGTATTTTTAAATGCAGCCTAAATACTTATCACAATAAATTGACTATCGTGGAGACAAATTTTTTTTCATTCTCTTAATATAGATTATCTATAAAAAATTATATTTATAATTTTTACTTGTGGAATTTTTTTATAACATTAAAATTAAATCATTTTTTAATTTTATTTTACAAAAAAGTTTGTTCTAAAAAATGGTTTTAAAAAAATTGCCTTTTTAATTTTTTAAAAATATCTAAATATCAATTTTTTTTATAATTTATTTGTAACAAATCTAAAAATTATCAAACATCAGTTAAATTAATTTCACAATTTTTTTTTCTTAATTATAAAATCTCTGTAATTTTTATTTTTGATCCAAAATTACATATAATATTTTTTTTACCTGGGGAAGCATCATTGCTTGTCCACCCTGGCCCATCTGTACAACTTGAACAGTTCCGCCAGCTCCTCCAACCATAACAGCTTGCCCCTCTGTCAGCTGATCCATCTTTGTACTATCTAAAAATGAAAACTAAATTAATTAAACAGAATAAACAGATTTCTATTTTATTTATTTAAAATAAATAACAATAAAAGGGAGGCGGCAAAAATAAAATAATTATTGAGGTAAATTCACCTCGTTTTTTTTTATAAATTAACCGCATAGTTGACGAGGCAACACCTGTGTTGAAGTTCTCAGAGATACACGTCATCTTGATAAGTACTTACTGTATAAACTCGCGTTATTTTTCATACTTTAGTTAATAAATAAATAAACACATTTAATTAGTCGAACTGGCGGGCCAGCTGATCAAGTGACACTTGTAAAAAATAAATAAAATAAAAAAGAAAAAAATTTTAGGTTGTAAAAATAATTAATTGGCGAATATTGTTGGTAGTGCATAATTGTAAGCATATGTAATTGCGCGTATGTGTAAAAGCAAGCTGATGCTCTAAGGAATAAAAATGGCTGGCGGTTGTCGGGAATTTTATGGATTAAGTGACGCGTACTGGTTATAAACACACTTTAAACAAACAGTCGAACGGTACTAAGTGCTTGTAAAATTATTAAAAATAATGAATTAATGAATTGTGTGACAACGTGATCACTTAGCCCGCGCTTAGTAGTATATACGAGTGTTCGATAATTTGTGAACTTACATTGGATATTTTCGTGGGCACTTTCCCAATGATTGGTCGGCAAATTGAGGACCAATGGTCGGCGATAGCGAGTCCTCGGCCCTTGTGTATTGGTGGCACTGAAGGGGGGAATCTGCCAGTACGATGCCAAGCTGATGCAAGACGGGTCGATGCCCCTCCGTAAACTTATACCTATGGCCAATCGCGACTCTTTAGTTAGCAAACTATTCAACACACACGGAATGAATTCACTGAATATACACGCTACTTTTCTCGAGCAGACGCGTGCTTCCGGCTTTTAACAGCGACATCTACATCCACTTTTTTACCGCTTTTTTTTGAAAATCAAGTTAATATTAAATGAAAACTAAAAAATATTTTTAGAAAATTGCACTGTTAGTTTTTCGAGTTTTTTACAAGTGAAATTTTTTATTTTCTTTTTTTTTTGTAATAATTTTTCAATAAAAAAATTTCTAAAAGTTTTTAGATGTCGGCTAACTTAATTTTCATATGAAGTTAGGTAGCTGAGATTTCAAAATTTTTAGAAATTTTTTATCGAAAAAATTTCAATTAAATAATTAAAAAAAAAAAATATCACATGTTAAAAACTTGAAAAACTATAAGTGCAATTTTTTATAAATATATTTTTAATTGTAATTTAATTAAAAAAAAAACAATCAAAAATTTTTAGACGTTTGCTAAAAGTGTCATTAAGAAAATTAGTTCCAAAAAATTATTTTTAAAAAATTGCATTTTTAATTTCTTAAAATTTCTATAAATCAATTTTTTTTTTTTGCCATAATTTATTTATTATAAAATTTTAAAAATTATTAAATATCTATTAAATTAATTTTCATCAGTCAGCTGTCACTTGATAATTTTTTAATAAATTAATTAGCTCCAAAAAATTATTTAAAAAAAAAAATTGCATTTACAATTTTTTAAATTATTTATTAACTTGTAATTTAATTGTTAAAAAAAGTACAAAAATTTTTAAACGCCGGTTAATTTTAGTCTCTTACAATTAAACTTAGCAGTCACTTTAAAGTTCTTACTTATCCGTAAAATTTTCCTCTCACGTTCTACATTTTGTCTACCCTGAAAAACAGCTGCTTTTCATCTCAAGGCTCCGTAGTGTAGCGGCATCACATTGGACTCTGAATCCAATAACCCGAGTTCGAATCTCGGCGGGGCCTTAATTTTTACTTTTTTCCATTCTAAAATAATCTAATAACTTCCATTAATCATTATTATTATTATAAAAGAATTATTTATTCTAATACAAACAACTTAGAAAAAATTAAACGTGCAAAAATATGATTAATTAATGACACTGAAGTCAGCTGATAAATTTTTTTATAAAAATTTAAAAAATTGACAGCTGTCAGCTAACTTCAGTATCAATAATACTAAAGTATCTTTAACCGACGTTCTTAATTTGTTGTTTTATTTTTTTATTAATTAAATACGAATAAAAAAAATATTTTTTAAAAATTACATCAACAGTTTTTTATAAATAATAATTTTTTCTATAAAAAAATTTTTAGACGTCAGCTAAATTAATTTTTAAGTATTTTAAGTATCATAACAAAAATATAGTGATAATAATAACAGTAAAAATGTATTAAGATGGCGCCACATTTATAGAGTTGAACTCTATTTTTTAACTCACACAACACGTGAGGTGTTGGTAAGCCAAAGATAATTCACCTCAAACTGAATCACAATGTGCTTGGTGAGAATAAGATGGCAATTAAACGTGCAAGTAGGATTAAATTGGTAGTAGACTTGGACAAAAATAGAGTATATGTCTCTGTCAGTTCAACCAGCTGACCAGTTCAACCAGCCGCTCTCTGATCACCAGGTAGGTACTTGATTCATCCATCAATTTATATTATTTATATTTTAATTAATAATCTCTTATTTTGATTGCTAGTCAAATAAAAATGGCATGCACCGCCCAAGCGAATGGATCTATTAAGAACTTGAAAAAAGGCACGACAATAATTACCGCCGAGCCGTTTGTATTTATTCTCGGGTCTTTGCACAGAAAGGAGCGCTGTGATTATTGTTTCAACAGCGGAAAAATCTCAAGATGCTCTGGCTGTCAATTTGTGTATTACTGCAGCAAAAACTGTCAGAAAAAAGGCTGGCTGATTCACAAAATCGAGTGTCCGAGTATAAAACGTGTTTCTCCAAGGATAGTACCTGATGCTGCTAGGATGCTGGCTAGAATTATTATCAAATTAAATCAAGGGGCTAAAAATGAACGGGGCTATTATACAGATACTAAATATCGTACTTTTAATGATTTAATGTCACGTAAGTATTTTTTTTATGATACTGATTATTTTTAAAAATTTTTTAACTGATAAATAATTATAGCAAGATAAATTAATTTAAAAGACGCTCTAAAAAATTACAAGTGCAATTTTAAAAATAATTTTTTAGACCTAGTTAATTATTAAAAAAAAAATCAAGAAATTTATTCATTTTAATCTCATTTTTGATGAAAATTAAATTAGTCGATATCTGAAAATTTTTTATTTAAAAAATTATTAAGAAAAAATTAAAATTATAGCTGTAATTTTTTTTAAGTATTTTTTAACTTGCAATTTAATTGTTGATTTGAAAAAAATACAAAAATTTTTGAACATCGGCTAATTTTAGCATCAATATTTTTAATTTTATTTAACAAATAAATTTTTTCTGAAAAATTATTTTAAAAAATTGCATTTATAAGTTTTAAAAATTTTTATAAGATTAATTTTTTTTTCTATAATTTATTTATTAAAAAAAATTATTAAGTTATAATTTAAAAGTTTATATTATAAAGTTATTATTTAAATAGCTACTTAATTATAAAATAAATTTTCAGATGAAGAAAGTATAAAAAAAAACATTAAAAAAATGGAACATTTTACATCACTAAGTATGGTATTACTAGAATTTTTGCCTAAAGAAATAATACCTGAGCCTAGAGAATTATTAAGAATATTTGGACGCATGAGTGTAAATTCATTTAATATTCTTGATACTGATATGACTAGTTTGGGTGTAGGAATTTATTTAGGACCCTCTATACTTGATCATTCTTGCAAGCCGAACGCTACGGCTATTTTCGAAGGTACCAAGCTGCTCATAAGAACTCTGTGTGATTTAGAATCTCTGGATTGGTCGAAGGTATACTCTCTATTTTATTATTATATTTGAAGTGTAATAATAAAGGCTGAGGTATAATCGTATAATTGTAATTATTTTTAGATATTTATAACGTACATTGACTTATTAAAAGACACTAAAACCAGACGGGAAGAATTGAACCAGTCGTACTTCTTCTGGTGTGAGTGCGAAAGATGTAACACGCCGGAGACAATAGAAATATCAGCGGCTTGTCCCAATAAAAAATGCACTAATCCTTGCTCGCCGATGCTTGAGAATTGCGATAAGTGTGGGGAAAAAATAACGGATGAGTTTGTTGATAAATTCAATGAAGTATGCGAGTTGTCGCTTTATCAATTAGATCAAATGCAATCTACGGCTTGTATCCTTTTATTAAAAATTATTTATTAAGAATTCATTAAAATTTATATTATTAAGAGAATAAGAAAAATTATTGTCTCCAGGATAGCCATTCTCTCCAGGCTGCATTCGAAAATAATCTCTAGATACAAAATTAAGAAATGACCTTGTGTTTTGTGAACTATTGACATTTTTAAAGATATAAGCTTATCCTGATGTTACACTCATCAAGACCTTTCATTTGAGTACCCACATCAATTTTTCATATATTTTATATATTTATATATATATTATATATATGTATATATGAAATATATATCAAAAATGCATGTGGGTACTCAAATGAAAGCTCTTGATAAGTGTAACATCGGGATGAGCTTATATCTTTAAAAATGTTAATAATTAAAAAATGACCTTGTATCTCGTGAACTATTAACATTTTTAATGACTTAAGCTCATTTTGACATTACACTCATCGAGACCTTTCATTTGAGTACCCACATCAATTTTTCATATATATTATATATTATATATATGTATATATGTAATATATATCAAAAATGCATGTGGGTACTCAAATGAAAGCTCTTGATGAGTGTAACATCGGGATGAACTTATATCTTTAAAAACGTCAATAGTTAAAAAATTACAGTGCAATTTAACAAAAGTTCACAAGTTACGACAGTCACATAGTGACTGTAAAATTGCTTGTTATTTATTAAAAAATTATTTTTCATAAATTTTTTCTTTAATAACTTCTAAAAGATTTAGATGCCAGCAGAATGTGTTTAGAGAAACAAGACGGTGTAGTACACCCATATAATTTAGTAGCTGTACGTACATTGGAAAATGCTGTTGCAGCTGCTGTTGACTTAGAACGTTGGAAAGAAGCTGAAATTTATGCTTCTAAATTAATTCCTAAGTACTTGTAAGTATCTCATATCTTAAAAAATTTTTTTATTTTATATCTAAAATAAATTTTTTTTCAGGTACTATTACGGGAATTCACATCCTATGACTGCTCAGATGTACTTTTCTTGGGGAAAATTACTCTCGTTGCAAAAGAAAGGCCTTCAAGCCCTCGAAGTAGTGACTAAAGCTGCGCGTATTATCGAGCAAACCTTCGGAGCTAACCATTCTAAAGTAAAAGACGAAGTCAAGCCTGTCCTAGACCAGCTGGTCGCAGAGTATCGTATCACAAATGGTTGTTTTTAGATAATTTTACAAAAAAAATTGTTAGATAATTTTATAAAATTTTAGATAATTAAAAAATGATAATAAAATCCGAGTTTTATTTATTATTAAGTAATACATTAATTTTAATATTTAATCTATACAAAGAACATTTACTTATTACTTAAAAATCGTTCGTAAAAAAGTAACTCCTCATATTTATTCGATGAAACAAAAAATGTGTCAGTTTTAAGATTTTACACATTATTTTTTACTTAAAATATTATTATTATTATTATTAGAATTTATTTTTTAATTTTAGTGAAATTCGTGGTATTTAATGTATTTAATAAAAAAATGTCTAGCGAATTAAATTGAGCGCCAGTTTTATCAAAGTAAACGAGTATCTACATTTCAGATGAATTAATTAGTGAAAAGAATGGAAATAATGAAAATGATAAAATAAACAAACAAATGAAATGAAAACAGGAATAATTAAATCTATTTTCTTATTAAATATGACCTAAGCTCAGCATCTACCGCCTGTTTGTTGCTGATAAACCTCAATTGTGTCACCTTCCTCCATCTCCAGCGAGTACGGTGTGTCAGTTTCATTAATTGGCGCGCCGTCGAATCTGAAGCGCACTAATGCAATTGCTAATCCCTGTAAATAAATAAAATAAAAAATTAATAAATAATATCTTAGATAATAATTACTTTAATAAGAAATAATTGTGTAAACAAATGACTCACGGCTCTTTCGCAGTAAGCATTCATGAGCTTCCTCAGCGGCGTGTGTTTTTTTATCTTGAACTGGACGACAGCACTGTCCTGGCCGAGGACTTTAAGGTTAATGTGCTCAGACTCAGATTTTGTATCCTATAACAAAAAAAATATTAGTTAAAATTAAATTGTAAATCTTTTTAAACAAAAAAACACGAGTGTTGATTGTTTTTAGGTTAAGGTACATACATTTTTTGCATCTGCCATTGTTTTAATAATTATACTGAATTTTTTTTAGTGATTTAATTTTTTTAGTTATAAATATTATTTTTTTTTTTTTTTTATTATTCTTATTATTTTTTATGGTTATTTTTATAGTTTAGAGCCGTTTTGTTTATTGTTATAAATTAACACAAATCCCGCTCTTTACCTCGCAACAACAGTCATATTTTCTCTGGTTAGTTTCTGTTTTCATGAAACTTTTTTCAAAGCGCTGTCAAACCTTTTGACGGGTTTACAATTGTAGCGCGGAAATTTTTTAAATAAATTATTTATAATAATAACAGTGAAGAAATTAAATAGAGTGAAGTCAGCTGACAATTATTTACATTTTTATTATAATTTAATTATAATTAAAAGAAGTATTTTTTAATAATTGTATGTATAATTTATTTTATTTTTTAAATCTGGAATTTTTAATAATATAATTTTTATAAAAATTAAAAAAATTTTATAATTATTTTAAAAATTAGTAAAAAAACATAATACTGAAGTTAGCTGACAGCTGTCAATTTTTTTTTAATTTTATAACAATAAAAAAATGGTTCTCAAAATATGAAAATAAAGTTAGCCGACATATAAAAATTTTTATAATTTTTTTTATTAAAACAATTATTACAGAAAAATTTTTCATTTGTAAAAAAGTTCAAAAACTATAAATCAAGCTAAAGTTTCCAATAAATAAATTATTACTAAAAAAAAAGTTTGAAAAAAAAATCAACAATCAATTTTTTTGACATCTACAAGTATACATTTTTTATTAATATAAAGATAATAATAAAGTTAGCCGACACTTTTGATTTTTTTATTTTGTTTAATTTATTAAATTATAAAGTTAATCGGCATCTAACAATTTTTAGAATTTTTTTCATTGAAAAAATGATTATAAAAAAATAAAAAAATTTGAAGAACTATAAGTGCAATTTTTTAAAAATATTTTTAGTTCTAATTTAATAAATGAAAAATAATAATTACGAATAAATAAAAATTGTTGTATTAGACTGGCTAGCAAATAAACTTAAAATTTAAAAAGTATTAAAAAACAATGAGTCTTTAAAAATAAATATTAAAACAAATAGTTATTAATAATATTTATTTTTCAGGCAAGCAAAAAAGAATGGTCAGCTCATCGGGGGGTACCCCCCGCATCCAGGTCTTCAGACCAACCTACGAAGAGTTCAAAGACTTCTCCAAGTACATCGAGTACATGGAGAGCAAGGGAGCGCACAAAGCTGGCCTTGCTAAGGTGATACCACCTCCTGAATGGGTACCTCGAAAAGGAGGCTACGACACGTCCAAAATGGACCTGACGATACCTGCGCCAATTTGCCAGGTGGTGAACGGCAAGCAGGGTCTTTACCAGCAGATAAACATCCAAAAAAAAGCAATGACCATCCAAGAGTACGAAAAGCTGGCAAACTCTGAGAGGTACGCCACTCCGAAGCACTTTGACTACGAGGACTTGGAGCGCAAGTACTGGAAAAACATCACATACGTCGCGCCGATTTACGGCGCTGATGTTTCAGGGTCTCTGACAGACCCAGATGTCAATGTGTGGAACATAAATCACCTTGGTACTATTCTTGATTATGTTAACAAAGATTACGGGATTTCTATTGATGGAGTAAACACAGCTTATCTCTACTTCGGGATGTGGAAGACGACATTCGCGTGGCATACTGAAGACATGGATCTGTACTCGATAAATTATTTACACTTTGGGGCTCCCAAGACTTGGTACGCTATTCCTCCAGAGCATGGACGTAGGCTCGAGCGACTTGCCAGTGGATTCTTTCCCAGTAATTATCAAAGTTGTCCGGCTTTTTTGAGACACAAAATGTCTTTGATTTCTCCACAAATGCTTCGACAGTATTCGATACCTTGTAATAAAGTAAGTTTTTTTTTTTATTTATTAAATAATGACATTTTTTTAATTGCACTGTAATTTTTTAACTATTGACGTTTTTAAAGATATAAGCTCATCTCGATGTTACACTCATCAAGAGCTTTCATTTGAGTACCCACATGTGTTTTGATATATATTTATCATATATATATATATATATATAATAACATTTAGAATAACATTTGTATCTTTTTGTATCTCTGTTATTGGCCATCAGGCTGTTGAGATGTATATAAAGAAAATAAATAAATAATATATAATATATATAAATATATGAAAAATTGATGTGGGTACTCAAATGAAAGGTCGGGATGAGCTTATATCTTTAAAAATGTCAATAGTTCACAAAATACAAGGTCATTTCTTAACTATTGAAGTTCTTAAAGAAATAAGCTCATCCCGATGAGTACCCATATGCATTTTTGATATATTTTTCATATATACATATATGTAATATGTATAAATATATAAAATATATGAAAAATTGATGTAGGTACTCAAATGAAAGGTCTCGATGAGTGTAACACCGGGATGAGCTTATATCTTTAAAAATGTCTACAGTTCACGCGATACCGGGTCATTTTTTAATTATGTATCTAGAGATAGAGAATTTTTAAATGCAGCCTAAATACTTATCATAGTAAAACCAATTTTATATTAACTATCCTGGACACAAAATTTATTTTAAAATTAATTTAAATTACAGATTACTCAAGAAGCTGGAGAAATAATGATAACATTTCCTTATGGATACCATGCTGGTTTTAATCACGGGTTCAACTGCGCCGAGTCGACTAATTTTGCAGCCCCTAGATGGGTCGAGTACGGAAAACGAGCTACTCAGTGTACCTGTAACAATGATATGGTTAAAATATCAATGGATACTTTTGTAAAGCGCTTTCAACCAGAAAGGTAAATAATCGTACAATATAATTAAAAAAAAATTTTTTTCTAATAACTAATATATTTTTTAAACATATATATAAATAAAAATAACTAATATATTTTTTTTTAGGTATGACTTGTGGCTACGTGGTGAAGACATAGGCTGTCACCCAGAAGACCCAAGACAAACCGCAGCGCCCATGCCGTCCCAAATGGACCTCTTGTGCTGCAACAGCACCGACAAACTCCCAGACAGTTTTATAAACGCCCCGAAAAACAAACGACACACAATTCACCGTAAAAAATCTCTGGTCGATTCAAACCAAGATCTCAACATGCACGAATTAGTCAATGGTCCTGACATTCCAGCAGACGTGAAAAAAGTTCTCCAGGATCTTGAGCTCGAGGAAGACGTCCCGGATGAACAGCAGTTGGAAGTTCTCGAGGACATTTGGTTAAAGGCCGGAGAGTTGGAAATCGAAGAGGCTAGTTTGTACGACGACGGGTACAACAAAAAGAAAAACAAGCGCAAGAAGAGACGAATGACTGTTGACAAAGAGCGAGTTGGTATTAAGACTAAAAAACCCGTGAAGAATACCAATCAAAATAATATTGAGACTGAAGGAAACACTTCGACAAATTCCGAGATCAAGCCAAAATATCTCGACATTATTGGCAGCGCAGTTCCGTGTCTCGTTCTACCAAAAATCACAAACTTTGATGGGATTAATTCTCTGTCTGATTCTCAATCTCCGACAAAACCCAAGGAACCTTCAGAGACTTTTGCGACTCCTGGAGACACTCCGATAAAAAAGAAAAGAAAGTACACCAAGCACAAGTCAGAAAATAAAGAGCGCAAAAAAGATAGTGAAGGTAATGATATTATTCCCAAGAGAACTTACAAGAAAAAATTAAAGTGCATAGCTCCTTTGTCAGCTCCAGAATCAGTTTTTGATTCTTCCCAACCTCTTGACGTATCTGACGCTTATGTCCAGCGTAAATTAATGGCAATGCCCAGCCTGTCATCACAAAAATCACAAAAGACTGAATCTATTAAATTAAGTAACATCACTGATCAAAATATTGATCAAAGTATTATTAGTAAGCCTGAAAAACCAACACCTTTACAAATTAGCGAGAATATTGATGCTTGCATTGCAGCTGTTGTTTCACAGTATCAATACATGTCTGATTCTTCATTGGACGAAAAACCCTCCAGTGAAAATGACAATTTTGCAGTTGATAAATCTTTAATTAGTCCTGTTGATGAATCATCTATAAAAGAACCTTTTGCAATTGAAAAAAAATTCTCAGCTGAAGAACTGATAAATGATAAATCTTTAATAAAAAATAATTCTTCATCACAAACAGAATTTTTTAAATTCTCGGAATTTAATTCAGGAAATTCTGAGGTAAAGAAAAATTCATTTATTCTACCCAAAAAATGTTCTACAAACATCAACAGACCCTTGAATATTTACCAAAAAAATGACATAATAAAAGCTCCAAAATTATGCGTCCTAACAAATAATTGCACGTCCCAAAGCGAAGCAAAGCCAACTCCATCACAAGACAATGATACTCTAAAAGCAGCCAGTGGGCTGTTAGTGCTTCAACAAAGCTCAAGAATTCTCCCCAAGCCCGCGAATGAATCCAACATATTTATAAAAAACACAAACAATTCTTTTCTTCAAAACAGTCAAAATATTCTAAGCACCAAAGAAATGCAACAGCGGTTAGAGAGGTTCAAGCTGATGAACACTTCTATAAACCCCGAGACAAATTCAGATAATAATATTAACGTTTTTCAAAGCAAACTATGCAACTCTTTTCCCGTATCTTCAGAGCGAATTTCTGTTATTGAAGAGCCAAAACAGGGACAGGGACAGCTTAGTGGAGTAACAGCTTCAGAGGACTCAAGAGTTGCTACTAAAAGATTCTGGCAAGTGCCAAACACCAACACCGTCCTGATAGCCAGCGACTCTAATATTAATTCAGCAGCAAGTAACCCTAAAAAATTCTGGCAATTACCTAGTGCAAATATTGTAATAAGCGACAACAAGTCTATCAATCAATTTAGCAATACAACTCCATTATTTTACAGCACGCCGAATAATAATGGGCTGATTACACTAGCGCCCAAAACAAGTGCAAGAATGTCTTTAGCTCCCTCTTCTTCGCTTTCTCACCAGCAGCAGCAGCACCAAAAAATCAACATGGGCACTTCGATTTTAAAAGTCTCCCAGCCGGGACAGCAGAATTCTTTGAACACAGTTGAAATAATAATGCCGCAGCCGCAGTATCAAATTCCTCAGCTGCAAAAAATAGCTCCGGCGCCCGCGCCGATGATCTTGCAACCAGCTCAATCGATAAAACCCAAACAAAAGCGGACACCCAGGAAGAAAAAACCGACTAAATTATCAATAGAATCTGCAGAAAGTCAGGAGATAGCTAGTGAGCGGAAAATGTGCTCGATAGCAACGCAAGTTGATAATTTGTCTCCGTTGAAACTTACTGAGTGTACTAAGTTTACTGAACAGTCTAACAGTCCTTTTGTTAAAGAAGAAACTGCTCAAGAGTACCCAGCAAGTTTTTCTTCTTCAACAGACAACAGCGCCGCTGCTATCAAGTCTCAGATGCTTTTTAGCGTACCTTCTAATAAATATTTGTCCATGTCTTATGCAGACTCTAAACCTTTGCCGGATATTAAGCCAATTGTTCCCTCAATTGGCTCGGAAATAAAAATTCCGATTCCTACCAAGCCTTCAGTGCTTCATAAAATGAATAATATTAAGCCTCCGGTGTTGACTAAAAATTCGGGGAAAATTCAGGGAAATAAATCACCGCGTAAACCCCGAGCTCCTAAAAAGAAGAGTTTAATTAAATTAGAAGATAAAAATCCTCCAGTATTAACAATTGAAGCTAATTATCCGGGCTTGAGTGCTAATGATTCATCAAAAGTCTCCAGCTCATCTTTGTCTCTTTTGTCGCCGACTTTGTCGGTTTCAAGCAGTAGCAGCAACAGCAGCTCTCAAATAATTCCAGGTCATATTTTGGAAATGTTGTTCCCGAATCATCCAGATTTGGAAAAAGTCAGGACCTTTAATGACTACTGGAGCAGCCAGGCGTCGCACTGCGCTATTTGCACGGGCTTCGCGAGTTCTAGTAATAAAAATACTCGTCAAATGCCCCCGGATTGGAAAGATTGCCGAGTAATTAGCTTGCCAGAGAGATCTTCAATTTGGGTTTCTCCGGCATTGTTCGCGGCGAATTCTAAGGAGCAGGACATCGAGCCGGAGAAAGATAGCTTGCTGCGCTGCAGAGATTGCCATGTAGTGGTTCACGCTTCTTGTTATGGAATTACTGTCCTGCCTACGGACTCACCTAACTGGGCGTGTGATAAATGCAAAGCTGGGATGACGCAATCTAATTGCTGTCTTTGTCCGATGAGGGGTGGTGCTGTAAAACGGACCAGTGATGGGCGCTGGGCTCACATTTTTTGCGCGCTTCTTATTCCTGGGGTTACTTTCAAAGACTCTGTGCACAAAGATCCGATTAATGTGCTGACGATAAAGCATGATATGGTCAAGCAGCAGTGCTCGTATTGCAAACAGAACACTGGGGTGGTTCTCAACTGTCGGCTGTGCTGCAATTCTTTTCATCCCTCTTGTGGGCTTGTTGCTGGAGCGGCTTTTGATATTCCTGCTTATGATTTTGTAGAGTTTAAGGTACGTTTTTAATATTTAACTTAGACTATTTTTTATTTTATTTAATTAAAAAATTTGTTACGCAAAATTATTTATAAGAAATTGCAGTTTTAATAATTTATTAAAATATGTCAATAATTAAGAAATGACATTGTATCTTGTGAACTATTGACATTTTTAAAGATATAAGCTCATCCTGATGTTATACTCAACGAGACCTTTCATTTGAGTACCCACATCAATTATTTCATATATTTTATATATTTATATATATATTATATATATGTATATATGAAAAATATATCAAAAATGCATGTGGGTACTCAAATGAAAGCTCTTGATGAGTATAACATCGGGATGAGCTTATATCTTTAAAAACGTCAATAGTTAAAAAAGTACAGTGCAATTTGACAAAATTCATTATTTAATAAAACAAAATTTTATTTATTTATAATTCACAAGTCACGGCAGTCACTTAGTGACTGCAAGGTTGCTAGTTTATTCTTTAAATTTATTATAAGTAAATTCTTATGATTTACTTTTTTTTTGTTACAATAAAAAACGACGTCATTAAATGGTTTTTTTTTATTCTATTTTTCAGGTTACATGTAACGAACACAATAAATCAAAAGAAGAACTAGATATCCGTCAAGGTGACAAAGTATGGGCAAAACATAGAAACAAACGGTATTATCAAGCAACTGTTGAGTCTATTGATTCAGCTACATTCTGTATGGTCACCTTTAGTGACCATAGCTTCAGCAATAATCTCTATCAAACTGATATAATTGTAAGTGTTATTTACAATTTTTTTTTTAATTTAAAATTTATTTTATAATTTCTATATTAAATATTTATTTAATTTTTAGAGCCACAGTACTATTCCAGACATCGGTGAAAGTTGTAGAGTAAAATGGACTGATGGAAATGTTTATGACGCTATTTTTGAGGGTACCAATTTCCGAACAATGTACACTGTAAGTATCAATTCTTATACTTATATAAAAAAATTTTCTGATTTATTTATGAGCTAAATAATAATTGATAATTTATCCAACAGGTAATGTTTGACGACGGATCACGATTCGCAGTAAAACGCAATCAAATTTTCGCATTAGACGAAGATTTACCTAACAGAGTACAAGGACGCTTGGTGAGTTGAGTCAAAAGTTAAAAAAGATAGAAAGGAAAGAAAAAACTACGACAACATTTCGACCACCGAGAACTCAAAATTAATTTTTTTTTTCTTTCTTTTTTTTTTTCTAAAAATTTTATTTTATTCTCATCTTTAATTTCTTTTTTTTTTTCTCAATTAATTTATTCATTTCTTTTCTCTACTTTTTTTCTTTTTACCAAAGTCTACTGCAACTGAAATGCAACATCGATCTCATCTTTATGGCAATGAAAGCAGTGGTTACTTCGTAGTACAGAGGAAAAGAAATAAACTTAAATTAAATTAAAATTTTAATTTTAAATAATAATCTAATAGTAGCAATAACTATTATTATTATCATTTATTAATATTAATAATTAGTAATTAATATTAATAATATTAAGATAAACTGACATAAAGTAAATCATTTAAATGAAAAAAAAAATAAAAAAAAAAAAGAAAAAAAATGAGAATAGTTTATGATAGAGCAAAAGTTTATCAACTGTTGTAAATAAATGTAACTTTATCGTAGGATCTTGTTTGATTCTAGCTGTAAAAAAGCTAAACAAATTTAACTTTCAAATACTCAAACTATGATTATTATTAAGGGTTAAATTTTTTTATTTTATTTATTGTTTTTTGTCTCGAAATTAATTTATTTTTTCGTCTGTTAATTTTAATTTTTTTTTTTTTACATTTTTATTTATCTTATCAGGACTCTGCATTATTCTGTCTCATGTTCGGGTTACTATAAAAAAGTAATGCATAATTAATCTAGAATCAAACAATATTTATATTTTAAGAACCTGTATTATATGTGTGAATTTGCAGTTGATATTATTATTCATATTAAAAATAATTATTAATTTCAAGTTAAACCAACAAAGTCATTAAAAATTAATTCTTCAATTAATTATCTAATTAAGTATATTAAATTTTATTGATAAGGACAATTATGAAAAAAAAATTATTATCAATCACTATTAGGTATTATATAGAGTTTAATCTTAGTGATATTGTTGTAAAAAAAAATTGATTTTATCACCGAGTTTATTCAATAAAATAATTAGGCTGAGTAAATTAATTTATTAATTAATACTATTGAATAAATAAATTAAAGAAATATTTCTATGGATAAATTCAGCTAATTATTGTCATAAATACAACGTTTAAATAAATCACCCATTGTGAAATAAAATATTAAAAATAATAATATTTATTGATTTACTTATTTAAACTCGCAACCTTGCACTATGTGACTACCGTGACTTGTGAACTACAAATAAATAGAATTAGACTTTATTAAATAATGATTTTTGTTAAATTGTACTGTACTTTCTTAATTATTGACGTTTTTAAAGATATAAGCTCATCCCGATGTTACCCTCATCGAGAGCTTTCATTTGAGTACCCACATCAATTTTTCATATATTTTATATATTTATATATTTCATAAATACCATATATATAACATATATAAAAAATGCCATGTGGGTACTTAAATGAAAGGTCTCGATGGGTGTAACATCGAAATGAGTTTATATCTTAAAAAATGTCAATAATTAAGAAATGACATTGTTTTTTTAGGAAATATTGATATTTTTAAAGATATAAACTCATCCCGATGCTGTATCCATTAAGACCTTTCATTTGAATACCCATATCAATTTTTCATATATTTTATATATTTATATATATATTATATATATATGTATATATGAAAAATATATAAAAAATGCATGTAGGTACTTAAATGAAAGCTCTCGATGAGTGTAACATCAAAATGAGTTTATATCATAAAAAATGACAATAATTAAGAAATGACATTGTTTCTTGTGACCTATTGACATTTTTAAAAATATAAGCTCATCCCTTTATTACACTCATCAAGACCTTTCATTTGAGTACCCACATCAATTTTTCATATATTTTATATATTTATATATATTATATATATGTATATATATCCAAAATATATAAAAAATGCATGTGGGTACTCAAATAAAAGCTCTTGATGAGTGTAACATTGGGATGAGCTTATATCTTAAAAAACATCAATATTTAAGAAATTGCAGTCTAATTTCACAAAAGTTATTATATATTAAAACAAAATTTTATTTATTTATATTTCACAAGTTTTTATTAAGGTAAAAGACCCAGTTATTGACACTTGCAATTATATTTCAATAAAAGAAATAAAATGTTCTTGAAAAACCATTTATCTTAAAATTTATAATTAAAAAATTATATTTATTAATTTATTATAGAGTCGATTTATTTTATTCAATTAAAATAAAATTGCAAGTGTCAATAACTAATTTTAATATTAAATTATTGATATAAAACATAAAAAAAATTTTATTTAATATATTTAATAAATTATAATAATAATAATATTCAATTTTTTCTTATTAATAATTATGATTAATTTTTCAGTCAATGACATTGAAAGAAGCAATAAAAGCAACTCTAACAATCCTAAAACAAGTAATGGAGGAAAAACTCAACGAAACAAACGTTGAGCTGATGACAATGACACCAGAGGCAAAGTTCCACATGTTCTCAAAAGCCGAGCTCCAGGAGGTGATTAAGGACATTGCTTAATAATAAAACGTAAACTAAGGCACCAGGGAGCACCGTCAGTGAAAGTGCTTCAAACTAATTAATTTTCATATTCATATATTATTTGCATTGATATAAAAATAATTAAAAAACCAACATCAAGATTTGTTATTAAGTTAACATCAAAAAATTTACCTTCCTTTTATTATTTCCCTAGATATTAGAAAGCTCCGAAACTTCATTACCTAGAAGATCAAGACGACGAAGCAGCAGCAGGTCTAGCAGATCTAGACCCGGGAGCGCATCTTCACCTACTCCACCACCTTCTGCTTTCCTGCAAGCCAGCTACTGAGTTCCTCACGTAAATCCTGTCATTTCCTTTTTTTTTTATTTTAAAAATGCATGAATAAACTCCTTTCTATCCTATCTCATGTTTTCATTTTTATTTTTGTTGATATTTTTGTTTTAAAGGTCGCAAACCTTTGAAACAAAAATGAAAATTGCCGGGAATATTCTAGGCTTTAAGAAAATTTTTTTATTCATTTTTTATCTTAATTAGTTTAAAAGTTATGGTAGAAAATTTAATTTATTTTTCCTAATTTAGGATTATTAATTATTAATATTTAAAAATTAATTAATTCTAAAAAGACATTTTCTCTATAAAAGCTATAGCTTGAAGCTTTTTTTATATTATAAAATTTAAAAATAAACTCTAGCGCCACCTGGAACGCAATTAAAAAATCAAAATGGCCGCCATTTGATAAACAGCTGATTTTTCACCAGTTTTAAGAGAAATTTGTTGATAATAATTAAACGGATGAAAATAAATCTCTGAAATTTTGCAGTGACCTTATTTAAAGCGTCTAGAAGCTAAAATAAAAATTTCAGATCAATTTACAAATTTTTAAAGTTAAAATTTAATCTTTAAAAATTTGAGGTCTAAGTATGAATTTTTAATAATTAATATCTTAAAAATAATTGATTTTAGAACTAAATTTTCTTTACAAAAGTTGTAGCTTAAAGCTTTTTTTATATAATAAAATTTAAAAAGTGACTTTAGCGCCATCTGGAATGTAAATATGTAACTAAAATTTTGCAGAGACCTTCTTTAAAGTGTCTTGAAGCTATAAAAAAAATATTAAATTAATTTACAAATTTTTAAAGCTAAAATTTAAAAAAAATTTGAGGTCTAAGTATAATTTTTTACATTAATATCTTAAAAATCTTTCAAAAATTGTAGCTTGAAGCTTTCTTCGCAATATAAATTTTAAAAAGTGACTTTAGCGCCACCTACAAGGTAACTATGAAACCAAAATGGCTGCCACTTGACAAACAGCTGATTTTTCACCAGTTTTAACAGAAATTCGTCGATAATAATTAAACGGCTGAAAATAAATCTCTGAAATTTTGCAGAGAGCTTATTCTTTGAGGTTCCTCGAAGCTAGAAAATAAATATTAAATTAATTTACAAATTTTTAAAGCTAGAATTAAAAAAAATTTAAGGTCTAAGTATGATTTTTAAGGAGATCCACGCGAAGTAGTTAAATTTTTAAAACTTCTTGAAAATTTTTTCAAAAAAGGTTTATTATAATTTTTTCAAAATTTAACCCAGAATTTAAAAAAATAGCTTAATTTATAAAAAAAAAAAATCAATAATAATATTTAGAAAAAAATGATAATTAAATTAAAAAAAAATAAATAAAATAATTGTTCACGGTAGAGTAGCGTTTCCCTCCTTCACTATCGGCTTGACTGTGAAGCGAAGGCAATTATCGTAGCGAAACTTGAACGCGAGTGTCGGATTCTGATAGGACGGGTCGAGTCCCTGGGGATCCTCCACTCGAACGGGACTATCCCAGCCACTCAGCGTCGTTAATTACAATCGAGAGTTCTTCCCCTTGTCTCGGGGTAGCTTTCTTCTCCGGCGGAAATCTTGTATCAAAAATCCATCGTCAATTCGACGATTAAATCTCTATAAAAGAGCCGCCGCCTTCCTCCCTCCTCCCTCCTCCTCCGCCTCCTCTTTAGAACTCTTCACCAGAGCACGGGAATCCAGGCGAATCGCACCAGGATTGAACGGTTTAGTTGAAATGGAATAATATCCAATAATCTGCCGGGAGAGGAGAAGTAGGTTGGGGACGGGATAAAAAGGGACGTGTCGTTATCGGGACATCGCAGCTCCAGCACTGGAAGCCATTCTGATTCACCCAACTCGACTCGCTTTTCCGACACTCGGCTCTCCATCCAAATTAATTATTGATTTCGGATATGACCAATTCACAAGTTAAACCTCGGTAATGGAAAGCGAACCAGTCCGTCACCTCTCACCATTTATATACTATCACCACCGTAATGCTTTCATACTTTTGTTTTATTTTTAGCTTTTTATTAAGCTAGCTAAGCTTCTGAAAAAATAAATCAATTTTAAAAATAAAATTAACCTCCTAGTGTAAAGAATTTCTATAAAAAAATAATTTACAAATTTTCAGGAAGTTTAAAAAATTTTACTACTTCGCGCACGTGGATCGATCACCTAAATGTCCCTATTTAAAATAAATAAAAAGAATTAATATAAATTTTTGCCCAAACTCAATATAAATGGTTCCAATTTTTAATATTACTGCGAAAATATTGATCCTATAAAACTGTTTTATTGATGACATTAAAATTAGCAGACACTTGATAATTTTTTATAATTATTTTTTAATCTTAAACTAGGTCCAGAAAATTATAAATAAATTCCTCATATAACTTTTTAGAGCTTCTAAAGCTGGAATTTTAAAAATAAATTTTTCTTGCTATAATTTATTTGTTAAAAAATTGATAAAAATCACCAAATGTCTCCTAATTAGAGTGTTATTATTTATTATTATTATTATTATTTAAAAAATCAACAAACCCTAAAAAAACTATATTTAGTAGTTATATGTTCAACCATATCCCTACTGACAATTTGGTCATACTCCAACGAATTTCTGAGCCTCTCCAAATTAAATAAAACTACACCGCTGTTGTACCCAGGATATCCTCCGGAAGAGTAAGCTTCTCCAAACTCTGTACTTGGATTTTGAGTTCGGTACAAATACAGCACATGACGGTAGACAGGACTGAGCTCCGGCGCCAATCCAAATAGAGCATCAGGACCAAAATTGTCAAACTCTTTGAACAACTCTTTTATGTCTTTGCGAAATTTAGTGTCGACGTCTAGCATCACCGCCAGCTTCTGCTGCTCTGAGGCTATCCTGTGCAAGCCTAGCGACAGGAAAAATAATGCGTCTGAGTAGTATGTTCCTGGCTTGCTGCTGAACTTTGGTGACATCACCGACACAATATCTTCCAATTGTAACGCTAGTTTATGTACATCGTAATATTGCACCTAAATAAATAAAAAAAAATATTTTTTTAATCATTTATAATGATTATAAAAAAAAATTATTAGTGAAAATTTATTAAAGTATTTTTTTTATTGTATGTAATTTATTTATTATAAAAAATAAAAAAATTGACAGCTGTCAGCTGAATTGAATATTATAAGTTATAAGTAATAAAGTGTATTTAATTACCTGTATAGTTTTTTTATACGCTAAAATAATATTATTTATAATTCCTTCTGCAATTATCCTACTTTCATTGTCAGTAATAACATGATAAGTTATTTCAACAGACGTATATTTTATTAATGAGTCAGTAAAAATACGAAATTTTCTTTTCATTGGTGAATTATTAGTTATTTTAGTAAATATACACCACACATTGTAATCTGTTGATTTTTTAGTATTATCTAATGATTTAATAAATTTATTTACATATGTTTGATTTTTAAAATTACTGCCTAGGGTGGTCGAGTGATTTTCATTGACAATAACATTTTGTTTATTTTGTGAATTAAATTTCGAGTAATAACCATTTGATATTTGAAAACAGTATAATACAGCGAGCAATATTGCTCCGAGAAGTGTCAATTTAATAAAAATATTACGTGACAAACGCATTTAATTACTTATTCACCATTGTTTTAATCAGCTGACATAATTCATTTTTATCAATTGTCACAACAATTACTCACTTTATTATTTCATTTGTAAAAAATTCATTTTATTTATTTACTCAATTTATTTTTAGATTTATTATTTTTATATATTACTATAATAAACATTACTATTGACACATTCCGTCCGCCATCTTAAATCCTACTAATCATTTCAAATAACTTGCCCGTTATATATCAACATTCACTTTCAAACCAGTTTAGTTTTTTTTTTTTTTTTTTTTTATGAAAATTAAGTTGAAATGTTTTTTTATTAAAAAAATTATTACAAAAAAATATGGAAATTTGAAAATTAAGTTGAAATGTTTTTTTATTAAAAAAATTATTACAAAAAAATATGGAAATTTATTTAATTTATTTTTAATAATTAAAAAAATTTTTTTTAACAAATAAATTATGGCAAAAAAAAATTAGAAAAAAAATTGACATGTAGAAATTTTTAAAGAAAATTAATTTAGCAGATAGTTAATAATTTTAAGAATTTTTTTAACTTAATTATGGCAAAAATAAGTAGAAAAAAAAATTAACATGTAGAAATTTTAAAAAATAAAAAATACAATTTTTTAAAAATAATTTTTTGGAACTAATTTTTTTGTTAAAAAAAATTAAAAAATTGTCACTGCTATCTTTAATGTCATCAAAAAAATTAAAAAAAAAAAAAAATTATTTAAAAAACTATAATTGCAATTAAAAAAAAAATATTTTTTAATTTTAATTTAATAAATGAAGCAAAATAAAAATTGTCAGCTAATTTTATTATTTTTTTTTTTAATACCATTTTTATAAAATAATAATTATTTGGCATTAATTAAAAAAAAAGCATTCAATACTTCACAGTAAATTTATTAAAAATTTATTTATAATTACACTAATTACAAATAAAATATATATATTTATTACAAAAGTTATCTTGTTAAAAAAGCGATAATAAAAACAGCAATTTTAATAATTCAACAAACAAACAATTTGTTAAAAAAAACTTCAGACGTCTGCTGTTTTAATTCCCACAAAAAATTAATTACAGTTACTCTCCATATCTTCCTTCCATTATTCCCCCAAAAATAATAAATCATAAACCTGTAAGAAATAATGAAAAAAAGTATATTTAAATAAATAACTGTATCGTAAACAATTTTTTCCAAGTCCACCAAAAAAATCTTAATTAATCTTCATCACTGGAGTCTTCCTCGGCTTCATTGAGCCACTTAATAAAAGGCTGAAGAACCTTCCTAATCTTCTCACTATAAAACCCATCATCATTATCATTTTCATTAAACCACTCGATAATTTTATCCTCGCTCAAAACATCTTTATCATAAAGCAGATGAACCAAATGCTGCGCAAAGTTCATAACAAATTCATTGCTCCCCGCTATTTCTTCAATCGCGTTCAAACAATCTTCCTGAGCGTCATCCGTCTTGACATAGTTCAAAATAATCGGAGTGAAATAATTAATCATCGCCTTGAGAGTCTTTTGATAATTAGCATTATCCACAGGAATTTTTTCTTCCCCCAAATAATGCATCGGTAGCAATAATATCCCTTTGATAACATTATAAGTGACCTCTCTGATCCCAACATTGTAAGCATACCTAGAAGAATTAATCTCCAAGATAATATTCTCGCAATTAAGTTTATCCTGATAAGCCCTAAGAAGACTGTCAATAACTTCAGTTAAGAATATATGAGTGTCATCAGGAATATCATCAGGAGTCTGTCCACTCCTTTTGCTGCTAGTTTCTTCAAGAACTGAGCTATCATCATCATCATCGTTATCATCATTGTCATTGTCTTCGTCATCCAGGTCGGTATATTTTTTAAAGAAGACAAACTTGTCTTCCTCTAAATAGTCAGTCATCTCTACAAGCTTAATTTTGCCCTTATCACCTTCTAAAACACACTTGCTGTAATTATTCTCGGGTACTTTAACCCCCTCCGAGATAATGCAAGTGTCAGTCAAAGTTTTGGGGCTTAAATTACAATTTGAAAACAAAAAACTATTTTTTATTGTACAATTATCGGTAATAGTAACATTGTTTAGAATATAAGAGTTGTCTATGACAACATTGTCTCCAATTTTGCAATTATTTCCAATAGTAGAGCGACTTACAAGAGTATTATTACCCAGCTGACTATTACTTCCAACAATAGAGTCATTTTTTAAAATACAACCTCTAGCTAGACCGGAATTTTTGTACTTGTAGGTACTTTTTGATGAATATACAATATTATTAAACGGCGCGAGCATATCAGGAGTAAGAGGGTAGCTCTGACGCTGGAGAATGTCTCTAGTTAGAGTGTGATAAGCTGCCCAGGAAGAAATAGGCAGCGCGTAATCACCAGCTTCAAGAATCAGTCTATAAATTCTAGAATCTAGAATTTCTTCATTAAGCAGGACACCTTTGATAAAGTCTTCCATTGTCTGGAAGTCGAAGTTGTCTGAAAATAAAGAAAGTACAGTCTGAGAGCACATGTAGACATGCGTGTCTATAATTCCGGTGTTAATCTCGATCTGCTCGTGGTCTAAAAACCAGCTGAGTTCAAATTGGAGTTTCTTTTGGTGGGATTCAAGATTGCTGGGCTTGTAGAAGATCAGCTGGTCGGTAAGTTTGTTGACGACGCTGAAGCAAGTGTTGGAAGTTAGGTTGGTGGGTCTGGAGCTGCCAATGTCCCTGAAGACCACGGACATGGCGATTCCCTTGTCTTTGTCCTTCTTGGCCTTGTGCTTGCTCAGCAGCGTTAATAGGTTGGTGTTGATAAACGCGTCTCCGCGGATTAAGACGAAGTCTCCCCGGATCCAGCCCTTGGTGTCGATGTCTCTGAGCGCGTCGCCCAGAGACCGGCAGCCGTCGGAGAGGATCAGGGATACTGTTATGTCGTCATACCTTTTGAAAATTAATTTAGGTATTTAATAATTTTTAGAACTTTTGTTAACAAATAAATTATGGCAAAAAAAAAAAATAAGAAAATTAAGTTAACATCTAAAAAATTTTATGATTTTTTTTATTAAGAAATTACAAAAAAATTTTTTCATTTGTTAAAAACTTATAAAACTATAAGTGCAATTTTTTAAAAATATTTTTTAGTTATAATTTAATAAATTAAGCAAAATAAAAAAAAATGTCGGCTAACTTTATTATTATAAAAATGACATCTAAGAAATTTAAAAAAAAAATAAAAGATGCAATTTTTTTTAAATAATTTTTTAGAGTTAATTTAATTGTTAAATAAAATTAAAAATTTGTCAAGTGACAGCTAACTTTAATGTCATTCATACCTTTTGGTGGAGATGTAGCTTTTTAGAAGGTCGATGTGGTTGCTGCAGTAAATAAATATCTCTTTTATTTCTGAACGGAGCAGAGATAACACTATGTAGTCCAGCAGGTTGAGGTTCGCGACTGGGGTTAAGATGCTGGGGAAAATATGTTGCAGAGGGGTTAGTAAGCTTGTTGAAAAGTCGTCGGCTAACACTACTGCTTGCACTGATTGCTGGTTGTCCAGCATTTTTTTCACGTTTGATCTTTTTATAGACATATTTTATTTTTTTATTATTATTATTATTATTATTTTTAATTATTTGATTTATTGATATTTTAATTGTTTTATTTATTTATTTTTTTTTTTTTAACACCTATATATGATGCAATTTTTAGAGAGGTTAAGTAAAAATTATTAACTTTATTTTGTTGTGATTTCAACTGTGATAAAATAACGACTGTCGATAATAAATATTCAAGTTTTTTTGTATGATTTTAAGTCACCAGGGAGCGTTGTCATTGTCAATAATTTTGAAAACGCTACTAAACTCCGCCATTTTGATTTTTAATTGGAAAATAAAAATGGAAGCACGCACAAGTTAAAAATAATTTATAAAAATAGATTTTTAAAATTGTTTTGTTAATAATTTTTGTTTTTATAAAATTAAAAATTTATATTAAAATATATTTTAATGAATATTATAAAGTTTTAATGACACTGAAGTTGACAGATGTTAGGTATTTTTTTAATTAGATAGATAGATAGATAAAGTGATTTATTTGACCTTAGAGCCTGGGCTCCCTCAAGGCCATCAAAGTCATATACAGTTTACATTTTTTTTTTTTAAGTGGAAATTTTTATAGGGACCGAGCCTCTAGACTATCACGCCAACTGGTGATAGAAATTGTAAGCTAATGGGCAAAAATTTTAAACTCTTACGTGTGATTTAATGTTAATTTATTTTTTATTTAAATAAATTAATAAATTGTTTGAAATTTTTTTAATTGTAGAGTTTTGACATATCACGACATACATAAATATATCAAGTCGGAACCGTCAAATTGACAAACTTGTGAAATTTTATTATTTTTCGCTCAGTACTAGTGGTATCCCAGAGAAAAATGACAGGCATACGAAGTGTTTAGAGGCGGAATTGAACTTTGTAGGCTATGTTTACATGGCTATTTGACTTAATAATGTTGAATTTCTTTTAACACATTTAATATACATGGCCTAAAGTTTTTTTTTAACTTTCTCAATTATCTTTGCTTCCAATACGACCGATTAATACTGGTCAAAAAGCATATTTTATTATTTTTTCTATTATTTAGTAAAAAAATACATAAGCTATTGTAATACTTTTTGCCCATTTAGTGCTTTTGTTAAACACCAGGGCGCGCCATTTCCGACTGATGTGCTGCTTCTACAGTTAGCGCTCGGTCCCTATTGATTTATTATAACAATTTAAAAAATTGACAGGTGTCAGCTGACTTCAGTATTATAAGTTTTAGTGTAAAGCAAAATAAACTGAATTATTTAGATTTTTAATTAAAAATATAAAAACATTTAACCTCTGTTGCTTTGGCTGTCATATAACAAATCATTCGTTTATTTATTTATTTATTCAAAAAGCCGTTAGTCACTGAGGAAAAAATGCATTGTTTATAAACAATCGGTTCAATTAAAAAAATTACACTATCGATTGATAAAAAGAAATAATAAATACAAAAAATTGAAAATATTTTTTTTTATCAAGCGCATTCGCGCGCCCCCTATCGGAATTCTAGAATGAATTTATCCTGTTCGATTTATATCGATATATTGATATGTTCATGTACCAGGAGATTGACCAATAGTAACTGAGGAGGGTTTATATTCTACCAATAAGGAATCAGGTCCCATTTTTTCGACTATTGACTAACTTCAAACTGTCATGTATTTTTATTGTAGGGATGAATTAACAATAAATAAAAATTAAATTAGCCGACATTTGAAAATTTTGATAACTTATTTTATTGAAAAATAATTTTTAAAAAATTAAAACAAAAATTTTCACATGTAGAAAATTTTTTAAATTATCCTTGGAATTTTTTAAAAATAGTTTTTTAGTTCAAATTTTTAATTAAAAAAAAAAAATCAAAAGTTTTTGAGTGTCGGCTAATTTAATTTTCATAAAATTATTTTTTTTTAATTTTCATTTATAGAATTTTTTTATTAAATTGTTTTTCATAATCATTTAATTGCTATAAAATAATAAAAAAAATTTATGACATTAAATTTAGAGCAGTCGCGATTATTTTTTAGTTTTTTTGACAAATAAATATGTTCCGAAAAATTATTTTTAAAAAATTGCATTTTTAATTTTTTTAAATTTCTACGTCAATTTTTTTTGCAATAATTTACTTGTCAAAAAAATTTTTTAAATTATTAAGGGCCAATTTTTCAATCCGAGATAAAAGTACTGCCATTATGATAAAAAAATAAATAATTTAGCACAGTGATATTGCCTACAAGTAATTCTCCTTGAACTCAGTCACTTATTTTGAAGTAAAATAAATAAACATTAGCCACATGTCATAGAAATATTCACCTCCAATGTGACAACTTCCTGATTGTAAATAAATAAAATAAAAATTAGGAAAACAGATGACCCTGAAGGAGATCCCTGTAACTCCCGCTAATTCCATACCTAAGCGCTTGAAATTGCACTTATATAATGTTGTTGAGCTCTTCGAGCTCCAAATTACAATTTATGTGTTATTTTGAGCTTTATGAGCTCAAAGAGGTAGCTGTTCTATGCTTTTGAGCCCTTCGAGCTCATATCTTGCGTTCGACATATCTATTATTAATTTATAATTTTGTTAATTAATTAAAAATAATTTATATGAATGACACAATAAGAGTTATTATTATTTTCATGATATATTTATTTATTTTTATTTAAATAAACGACCAAATTCATGGAGAACTAATTGAGAGCAATATCACGTCGCTGAATTATTTATTTTTTTTTATTTTATTGGCGGTATACTTTTGTCTCGGATAAAATTTTATTCCGGATTGAAAAACTGGCCCTAAATATCTGCTAAATTAATTTTCATAAAAATTTCTAATACCTGTCAACTTCAGTGTCATTTTTTAATTGACTGTTTATTTAAAAAATATTAATTATTTTCGCTTTAAAATTATATATTATTAGCTTCTTAAAAAAGTCAATTGAATTTATTATATTAAAAAAAAAAAAATAAAATATTGATCACTTTTTATGTGTATTTATGAAATTCAATTTTTATATTTTTAATATATACGTTTGTATGGATATAGAATAAATTGTAATTGACGTTATTACTCAGAGGGTGGTAATTACGAATTTATTAAATTAATTTTTATTAACTGAGGCTATTGTATAAAAATAAAAAAAATAATTTGAACCATGATCAAACAGCAAGATATCAAATTAATGGGGGGTCTGAGCGAAAATTCGTACAAATGGAGACAAATTTCATCGAGAAGGCACCAGCCTTTATTAACGACTCAATTTTTTTTTCTTTCAGTAAATAAATTGAAGTCAAGGTTTATTATTTAGGTAATTAAATGGATGAAAAAAAAAATAATTTTTTTATTACTCTTTTGTTACTTCAGAAGGTGATAATTTGAAACAAAAATTATCATTGAAGTTTAATGTTTTTTTAATTAAACTTTATCATATAATTTAAAATTAAAATTCTTTTATAACTTTTCTACAAAGTCTACCTTTTTTAACGATAATTTAAAAGAATGTTCACTTCCTGCTCAACTAATTGTAATGTCATTTTACCGGTGGCTATTTTTTGGTTTTGAAATATAGTTCTCGAAAAAACGTGTACAAACTAAAAAATTTTTCCCTCACCATTTTTTCTCAACTTTTCACCGAAATTTTAATTTTTTTTTTTTTTCAGAAAACAGACTGAAAGTATAACTCAATTGGAAAAAATGATAAAATGTTTACAGAAAGATATTGTATAAATAAAGAAGGAGTCCCCAATATCGAGGAAAATACCGTCACCACCGGATTTCCTTCCACTGAAGAGTTTCGAAGAGTGGAGAAATTTCGAGGACAATAAAGACCAAAAAAGAGACAAAGAAATGGTCAGTATTAAATTAGAAATAACTCGAAAAAAAAGATCATTATTAACACTAATTTTATTGCAGTATAAATATTTTGCTAGCCTAGGAGGAAAGTCATTGAAAGAATTTATGTCATCCATGCTCAGCCAAACGTTTGTTCCAAACTTGGCAAAAGAATTAACATGGACGGGGCAGAGGAATAACAGCTCAAAAGATGTGACGAGAGCCTTAAAAGATAGTAAAATTGTACAAATATACCGAGGTAAAAACTATTAATGTTTAAAATAACCTAATTATATTTATTTTGTAATGTAACAAAAATTTAATTAAAATTTTGTATAAATATTTACAGCCGCAATAAAACGCAATAGGAAATTCGAAGGAGCAACAATAGATGAAATTAAAAAATGGATTTCAGCTGGATTAAAAACAACCAAGGAGAAGATACGAACATCAAATAAAGAAAAAGATAAAGTAATAGTTATAAGAAATCCGGAAATGGATATTGTAATAGATGAAACATAAAAAAAAATTAAATTGACGTTAATCAAATTATGCATTGTGATAAAAAAATAAAAATATGTTTTGAATATTGTAATAATAATAAAAGAAATTCAATGTGAAAATATGTACGTACGTTTAGTTTTTTATTAAATAATAAAAAATATTTAATTAGAAAATTTTGATTTATTTTTTTTATGTTCCTACTCCGATTAAAATTAGAATAAAAAAAAAACTCAAAATTTAAATTTTAAATTATAATAATTATTTAGAATATGCCTAAATAGTAAGATAAATTTTAGCCAATCTGTTTCTTTATTTTGCGGGCAGTATGCTAGCATGAAATGTCTGCTTGATGACAGCGTATTTTGCCACGCAGATCATCCTTACACTTTGCTTGTAATATTCCGCCACCGTTGCACGAGCATGAAATGTAGGCACAACGGCAGCAGGCTATGCTGAACAAACTTATACCTGCATTTTGCTAGCAAATGCGGCCGCAGATGTCTACGGTATTGCCAGCATATCTTCCCAGCATGTTTGGCTATCTGGGATTTTTCTGTTCCCCTTTTTTTACGAATCTGAAAATAAAAATACAATTATAACTATTTTAAAGTAAAAAAAAATTTCTCTGAATT